CTACATTCGATGTTCTCTCGAACGCACTGTATCGCAACGAATCCAGTCGAACGATGTTTATGTTCCGTTCGTTCCTGGTAAACAAGCTCCCATCATTTTTCGCGGCCATGATGGCAGCATCAATGGTCTCGCTGCCAATGGAAATGTGCATAAGCCATGCTTTGAGCCGGCTGGACCCAAATACATTTCCATCATTCTCCCAGATGTTCGCAATGCAGGGCAATACCGTTCTGTCCGAGGTGCGACCGGAGTTCCTATTTGCCTGTGCCTCACACAAATTGATCCCTGAGTCCAGCATTGAGCGCTTGCTAGGTGAAAATCCTATGCAAACTCCCCCTGTTGGATATAACAAAGACGACCTCGTGTCGCAGATCAATACAAACCAGGAACGTGCCGAGCAACTGGTCAGCGAACTTGAATCTACAGAAGGCAATGCGGGCGCTATTGTCGCAGCCATCACGGAGGTATGTTTCTTGAACTTGAGTTAGTGGACACACAAGTAACACAGGTGCAGGTCATGCATAATCTCTGCAACCAGAAAGAGACAGTGACCTTGAAAAGTATTTGCAATTCGCTTTCCAGGCGCCCTCAGGCTCTCGATGTGATTCTTTTATTCCGTAGCGCAAAACAGGTACTGCAACCGCTTTGCACTTTGTTGGATTCTTGGCACTGGGACGAGGATCAGGGAGAGAGCCAGCCTGTCTACGATGAATTCGGGAGCATTCTCCTACTTGTACTGACCTTCAAATACCGATATGATCTACGGCCATATGATCTCGGAATCACGAGCAACGACTCTTTTATTTTGAAACTACTGGATTGCGGGGCTTCTAGCCAAAAGCTGGATGATCTGAGCGAGAAGCAAAATAAGAACCTTGGTGCTTGGATTACTGCGCTTTTCATAGCTGAGGGAATCAGCGAAGAGACCATGTCATCTTGTAGCCCGCAGGAGTTCTATCTTCTGGTGACCACCCTATTCAACCAAAGCCTCACGGCGTGTGAAGCAGGAAAACTGGAGTTTGACACCTTGAAGGGAGGGTTCGAGTGTAAGTCATTTATCTATATTTTTCAGCGCAAGACTAACGGCTATAGATCTACTTGAGCCGTTCCTGCTCCCGTCGCTAGTGGTCTCTTTGACCTGGCTAGGCAACCATATCTGGGAGACTGAGAGTGACCCTACAATTCCGTTGAAGACCTTGCAGTCTCTGGTCAATCCCAGCTCAATATCTGGCGACGCGAGAGAAATCCACAAGACAGTATTGAACATCACCGCACGCTCGCTCGATGAGCAACTCAAGGATATCCGGTCTCGCCATCCGAACCGGGCGGACATCAAACCTATTCTGGATGTGCTTGAGCCCTGCCTGTCCTTCCAGCGGACAGGTAGCTGTCACCGGACAGAACTTGACAGCTGGACCACTCACTCACCTGGGGGATTACTTGGTAGTATCCGAAGCACCTTTCAGGGGCTTGTACTTTGGAGCACAAGCCCCGGGGTGAGCATGGCGCCGCATTCCTACACGCATCGGCAGCTTGTGGCCGGCATCCGAATGCTCGGGTCTACACGCGTACTCACCGCTATTGTCGACGAGTTAAAGGTGCAGAGCGAAACAGGCAATGCTGACCTTGCCCTCGATATCGCAGTGACCATGATCTGCGCGCCATTAGCTGAGTCTTTTGCCGTAGAACAAAGCAACTACCATCCCGTGGATCCCAACAAGGAACCTCTTCCACGATGCCCGATTCTCACCCTTCGTGATGCACTCAATTCGCAGCATGAAAACGTACCGAAGCTGTCGGAAAAGGATCCATTACGCGCGGAGGTCATTGTACGACTATACCGTCGAGTGAACGCGCTTATGACACTGACGTCACAGATGCCCAACCTGGACATGAGCAACATCATCCAGGATATGCAACTCGGGGTTGAAGATCACGGCCAGATGGATCTCGAGCCGACAGGCGCAGGGCATGACGTAGGGGATGATGATGCCGCCAATTTGAATCGCATGCTGGACAACGCGGCAGCGGCAGCGGCAGCCGGACTAGACAGCGGGATGGGACAGAGTATGGGTGGAGCGCTTGATACAAGCATTGACGATGTTTTGAATGCAGCCGACATGGCCGTTGGAAACCCAGAGTTCCTCGATCTGGACATGGAGGGCATGTTCTGATCAGACCATACATGGATTATAAAACTTGGACTGATATTCATACCATCGTCTTCTACATATCTCCCAACAAAGATTTGCTCCAACTCCTAATCCCATCAAAGATAAACCCAATGGCTCATCAGAGCTTGGTATGTGGATCCTGTATCCATCCCACGTGTCAGTCTCGAAGGACGGCATCATATAAGATAGTATCTGTTCGACACGGGAGATCTAGGCCTTGTCAACATTTACCAAGCAATGGCATTGTAGCCTCCTGATAAGAGTTATGCCTTGTGTCTTGCTGGGTACTCTTGCTGGGTACACCGGCAGAGGGCAAGAGTAGAAAGGGAGAGGGTGATGCTAGCGGTGAGCTTCATTTTGGACCTAGCGTAATGGTTGCATCAGAGTAGAGCCTTGGTATGGTTAGGTGGTGTAGAATGGCAGGTGGCAGGAGTCTTTGTCATTACTATACTACGCTCTGAGGAGGGGGAGGGGCGTGATATCTAGGGCTATTGGTGGCATGTGAAGGATCTTAGAATACTGGTCAGCGAAGCAGGGTATTTTGACGTCTACGTCTCTGTTCTTGAGTGTAACAATCTACCTATACGGGATATACGCGATATCCACCACGAGCCCCATATAGGTAGTGGATGTCACACTATTATGTATATATATATATATTATCTACGTAGATTGAATACTATTCGATGCGATGGACAGTATACATGCTCTACTATAACACTATCAACAGTACTCCATACTACATCTCAAATACAGACTATCAATAGAAAACAATCCCTTTCACGCGACCAGAGCCAAAGAATGCTAGGCGTTGCCACCCCTTCGCAACAAGGGCCCGGGAAGGGCAGGGAAGGGATTGATTTGCGGGATATTTTTGTCGCTCGACAAGTAGGAGACTCATTGGTTGTGGGGACCCTGTCTGGGTGGTTGTGATTGTGTCGACTGTGCAGAGAGAGATGGCCTGGAATTGTTTGCTGCGTTGGGATCTGTAGTGGTTACGCATATCATCACCAGTGGAGCTGTGGTGTTTCTTTTAGCGGGTCAATAGTCTGCACGCGGGTCTCAAGGGAAGTGCAGTAGTGCTTCATTTATAATCCAAAATATGACCCGGCTACAGGAGTCAAAATTAAGACAATAGGTATAATTGGTGGGTGTTAAGAGATGCATGCATACGACCCGATCGAGATTTGACTCTTCAGCTACAGGAGGGGACATGCATGCTGTAGCTATCCACGAAAAGCCGATGCATAGTACTTCTTTTTTTTTCGAACCGGGGACGGAGTATCACATCAGGTCCGGAGGAGGAAGTACGTACAGGGGGGAGAAGAAAAAAGAAAAGAAAAGTGCCGAGTGTAATAGTGAGGTGCATAACCACATCGTCTATTTTAGTTCTCTGCATCGTCTATCACACCGCACGTGAAGGGGATGCCATCTGCTGGCCATTATTGGTCGAGCGACCTTGCAAATCGCTTTTTCTCCCCCACGAGCAAGTCTGCAGCTTCATGCCGTCTTGTTTAGGTGCATTCGTTTTCTGTCTTCTTGTTCGCGGATCGTTTTTCTTTTTTTGTTTGCCGTTCGTGCCCCTGCCGAGGAATCTGCGGCTGACAGCTGTCATGCTGCATAGTACTCCTCTGTTAAGAGACTAGCTGGTCGAGTCAACTGGAGTGGTTCATGTTTGCTCGGTTGCACCGCTGGGGATGGATGCAGCTTCCCTTGCACTGGATGTCTGGGAATGCGATGCGGAGGACTCTCGTTTGGGCAGGCTGATTCCGAGCGGATGGCGTTTATCCTATACACTCGGTTCGACTCTGTAGGCGCCACTCTTGTCATTGTTTTGCCTTTTGCCCTTTTTTTGTTTTTTTTTTTTTTTCTTCGAATCTAGTTACTCCGTAATTTATTTTGAACTTTCTACCCACCTCGTTCGCCCACTTTCCGACATCTATCTACTCGAAGAGGGGAACGGAAACTGTCGATCAACAGGGTATCATGCACCTGTCATCGATAGTGATCCATACGACATACAGATCTACAAGTCAAGAGCAGGAAACTTTCAGCTGGGCGCTGGGTAAAAGAAAAGAATAATCCCCAAAAAAAGAGTCCCGGGATATAGGAGAATAAAACCCCCAATGCAACCACAACGTTCCCGTCCAGCACGCCTAGTGCTATAGTTGTGGCGCGATATAAGACGGGGGGGAGCTGACTCGTCCCGCGAGCTTGATCGATTTGCCTAGGTTGAAGGTTTTTTTTTTTTTTTTTTTTTTTTTTTTTTTTTTTTTTTTTTTTTTTTTTTTCCTGTCTGTGGCCCCTTTGCATGTGTTTAAGGGATGCGATCGCTCTGTGATAAGTGTGACAGGATGTCAGGAAATTGCAGCGTCGTGAGGGGGGATGGGGGCCGCAAGGACCTATGTTGCTACCCTATCGTTTACACTATATGCTGGGAAAATTGAACTTGTGCGAAGTAACGCAGCTTGGGGGGGAGATCCAATCGGACTCTTTTCCCGCCTTCTTCTCTATCACAGTAATTTGACCACGTAAGTGTGCTGTCGGTTGATCCTGGCGGGTCTCTTTTGCTACACTTTCTCTTCCTTCGTTCGAGGGCATGTCAGTGATCGGCGAGGCAGCCCGCTGTTTGTCGACAGTAACTCGCATTTACGCGAAAGAAAATAAAAAAAAAAAAAAGAAAATATATCCAGGGCGGAATGCGATTTTCGCTTATGCAGCATGACTAAGATATTCGTTAAGTAACTAACGACTTCACTAACTTGCGGACATCGCAGATGGATTTGGTATCGAAAGAGCAACCTGCAGTAGTTCAGTAGGTCTAAGTTGCTTGGCCCGCTCCGCAGAGGGAAAACTACAGATGCATGAAGTAGCCCTGTGGTCATCTGGGAAATAATAGTTTAATTATGACGGGGCGGGATATACTTTTCTTATTAATCTGCTATGAATGATAATATAAAGATTTAAAAAACTTTCTTTTTTTTTGGACCTTCGCCTCTCCTTTTCAAAGCTGTATCCTTTGGCCAGCCTGGGCAACGGGTTTCTTCAGCGTGGAATTGTTTGACGTGCGCTCGTGCAGAATCCCCATAGGAGTTAGGGCTGGCAGTGAGCTGCACTCAAGTGGGGGGGCACGAGGACCATCTTCAAAGACATTTCTCAATTGGGTGCGAGTATCATTGAATCCTAGTCTAACGCTAGTCCCATTAGTGTAGTGATGATAGGGAGTCGAGAGATCCACGGCGGTTGATTTTTCCTGCATGTCGAGGACTAGTGAGGTTAGGTGGGGGCTTTCTGTGTCGGTTACATCTTTTGCTGAATGGGAGATATGTCGGCTGGTTGAACCTTCCCTCATGGGGAAAGAGGATTTCATACATGTATAGATATATATATATATATACATATATTGATGACGTCGATATAGCTCTATCGACTCTGTACCGTGACGTGTCGGCCCTGGTCTCGGGGTTACGACTAGATGGGGAATGTTCCATGAACAACCTAAGAATTTCCATGGTGATGGGAGATACTGTGGACATCGAGATCGAAAGGCCCCGACAATACGGGTGCCAGGTATGGCGCGAATCCAATTGGTTGTATAGTGTATCCTCCTTCGCGGCTGATCCACTGAAACCATTGAAACCGGAAACGCAATATCATAATTAGGGTCATCCGTGTATATCATCGTCCAAATAAGGAAGACTATGGCCGCACCACCGTGGGACGGCTGGGTCGAGTTCAAATTGCACGGTCGCCGAGTTCCAACGGCTCGTCGGGAACGCCATATCGACGGGGCGGTGGAGTGGGATGACTGAGCTCGAAACACGCCATCCAGAGACATGGTATGACTGGATCCCGTGGATGGAGACGGAGAATAGGAGTTCAGTATAATTGCTTTGTACCTGTAACGCCCAGTCAATTTACGATGCTATATTTTCCGACATATTGTATCCTGGCGAAATGGACTTCACGCGAAACCACGTGACGCGCGACGTAATTTGAATGGTTTTTACCCCTGAAGTGTTTTGGCCTTTCCATTCGCCCTTTCAGGAGGTTCTGGAAGAGGGTCTGTCCTTCGTTCCAGGGCTCGCCGAGTCGCCGTCTTCGCTGACTCGCAAATCACTTTGCCAAGGCTACCGTTGAGTAACCCGTCCCGTGCCCATGGATCTACTCTGCGACCCCTGATATCATCGTAGATGAGGTAGGGGCGTCATCCCCACGAACGCGCGCGACACGGGACGAGTTCACGAGCTCAAGGAAAAAGGGATGCTATGGTCCTGTGGGACATAGTCATCGGATATTCAGGCTGTGCCTCCTCCCATGCCGTCCCGCCCTGGTTTGCCGGTGGGGTGACGCTATAGCAGCGATCACTTTTCGAAACCCAAAGGCCATTCGTTAGTTCCATGTCGTACAGCACTGGTCTCGCAATGGCTCGTGGGGGTGAGGTGCCAGTGGTTCCGAGTGCCATCATCTGGTTCCGGGGGACGCAAAGTACCCTGCCCTTTAATATATGACATTGCGTGCTTTGGACTATCGTGTGAGGTATCACACTTCAAAGATGAGCGCGCAAGATATGCGGTCATTGGCCGGGATCGGAGACTATTCTTCCCCTCTTCCCTTCGGTCTGGGACACTACCAGTTAGTCCACAGGGTGTCGGCGATCGGGCCAGGAGGTAGTCCCGCATACCACGATGAACACGTGCCCTGTACGAGTTCATCCCGGGACGATGGAAGATGACATCAAATAGAAAAGCGGTTAGTCGAGGTAATGATGGTAATCCTGGTCGATAATAGCGGGTTTTTGTGTTACCGGCGAGACCGCGCCTTGGAAGGAATAAACTGGATGTACGGAGTACTCCGTCCTCTCTGCTGCTATCCAGTCTGGACTCAAGGACGGTCGGTAGTAACGGTCGGCTGTAACTTTGTACGACCCGACTCCCTGGAATTGCCTTGTCCCAAGATGCTTCAATAATCTGGTATAGCCTGACAACCGTCCTGATCCGTCATATGCTTTTCTTTGTCAGGTTATCAACTGCGCCTGTTGGCGTAAGCCTCAGCGCCACCCCACGGTCCCGACGCCATGGCTGAGCAGCCCAGAAATATATCCGGACGACTAGATTCCCTCGAAACATGAACAAAACTCTATACGTAATATTAGTTGGGGATGAGCGACACAAGTACTACTACGGATGTGTCTTCCGCAAGCGACGCGCTCCATTCCTCTTTTCCTTTTCCTCTTTGTTCTCGTCGAGCAGTAGTATTGATCTAAACCTTATCGGGCGCGGAGGAGGCGAGCGACATGGATGAAGCTGTAGGTAGATGAAATAGGAAACTGTCGTTCCAGATTACAGTGTCTCGGATATGCGATATCATATTACCGCGCGACGATCAGATCCAAGAACCAAGTGGATGGGTTCATATGATGTATAATACGGTCGCTCGCGTATCTTTCCTGCATGGTACTCCGTACATGCATACAAGCTATGTTTATTATGCTTCGAGTGAATCACGACATGAATTCAATTCTTTGCCTCAGCCTGGAGGGAAACGACGATCATAATGGATAAGCATAATCCTTGTGTAACTACCCCGGTTTTGCTTTGAATGAAACCAGAGAGGAGGCAGAAACACCGATTCCAATTCACTACGTGCTGTAGGTCTACGAAAAGTATCTCACTAACTAATCCAATATCTCTTCTGACCAGACCATTCCATAATATCCCATAGTACTCCGTCCTGCGTATCGGAGCCCGAGGGAATAGCCGAACAGAAGTCACAGTTTCCAGTGACCCGAAGGAAAATGGTCTCCACATCATCTCCATCCAGGGGAAAGTCTATTTTATGCAGCTTCCCTTGCGTCAAATCAAGACAGTGTATAATGCTGTTATTGACGGCTGAGTCATGATGCATTGACCTGAAATAGAAACGTCGGGAGGATTAGGTTGTGAGGTACATGTCTCATTTTTCAGTTGCCCAGTTGGTTTGGACAATCATACATCGGCAAGAATCCCCATGCACTATCTGCCGAGCGTCTCGAGTGGTCTTCTAAGGTTTTCTTGAGGCACATTGGATTGTGCAGTCCAATTGGAAAGGAATGGTGCTGTCATAGTTTGTGGACTGCTTAAGCTTCCTGGAACTTTGGGCCAAGCGTGGGCGCACAGATGGTCTTGCTGCATGCATGTATGTCGATTATATCACAACATGTATGGAGAGGTGAGTGCCTGGATCAATAGAGGGTACATGCTTTCCAAGTGGGTTTGATAAAGAGGATCACTGCGCTCCGGACTGTCTGTACGTAGTAGACTGAATCGACGATCCTGATAACAATCTACATCCAAGCAAGGTGGGATGGGGCTATTGCAGATGACTTTAATCCGGAATTAATCCCCCAAGAGCTTCCACCGATCATTTGTTTACACTGTTTTCTAGCTCGAATCACGAAAAAGAGATCCTGAGAATAAGAAAAAAAAAAAAAAAAAAAGACTTGGGTCTGGAATCGCCGCGGCCTCAGGTTTCCAACAGCTACCTACTTCTTCGGTCTTAGTCTGCCGGCGCTCGAGCTTCTTAGTTTTGGAGACGGTCGCCTGGTGGACCACAGCTGGGCCGTGATGCGTCCCATCCTCTGCTGCCCGCTCTCCCGTGACAGTCGACAGGTCGAATTGTCACTTTGGGACTTTTGTCGGAGGCGAGGCTTCTATTTTTGACCGTTGGTTAATATCTGTTCGGCGGCTTCGGCTACTAGTGACAAAGTCCTGTCCTTTTGGGGGATGCTCCACCCAGACTAGATTCAATTAGAAGAAGACGTTCGAGAAGGGCAAATTTGTCAGAGACACATTGCCGTTGCTGTGGCGGCGTGGCCATGTTCTCATCGCCATCCGATTCTTAAGTATAACAAGAGCAGCCCTGGATGAGTCAGTAAGGACCTGGGGGGAGTTTCAGTCTTGCATAAATTAATCCTCAGCGACGAAGGTTCTGTCAACCATGGGACAGGCTACTGCGGTGTCGATCCTTCCCAACTTTTTGCCTTTTTGTTGTGGTTTTTCCCTGTTTCTTTTTTTTTGTTTTAGCCGTAATATTTAGCTTCTTAAGCTACTCTTGTTATATGTATGCCTAGCACTAAAGATTTTTATTTTTATTTTATTTTTTTACGGAGTATTTTGTTGCAATCAATGTGAGGGGAATAGGAACAGCTGCTTTGCCACCAGTCTTTTTTAGTGTCTTGGCTGGCCAGTGGTCCATTGTCGAGGGACCCAAAAAAAAAAAAAAAGGAATGGACTCGAATCCTTGTTTTGTCGATGCAAGTCTTTGCACACTGTCCATGTTGAAAGAACCGCGCAGGGACATTCATGTCTTATTTTTTTGTGGTTTGATTTTCGATTCCTCGAGCATTATTTTAAGTGTCTATTATGATGGTGAAATCGGATATCCATTTTCTTCCGTGTGTCGAGAGTAGTGTGAAATGGTTCTATTGACTCATGGGCATATCTAGTTATCAAGGTCCCGGCAATAAGGGGCTGTCACCCAGCCTAGTGGGAAGTCTTGGGCCGTTTTTAATCTGGCATAGATTAATCGCGGAGCACTAACGACGTCTGGTGCTGAAGGGAAGGATTTTAGATCATTAATAAATAAATGATGAATGAATTAATTAATTTCTCAATTAAAGGAAGGCAAAAAAAAAAAGCAAAAAGAGAAGGAGAAAAAGAAAAGAACAGATCCCACCTGCGTCGTCTGGACTTCAGTCATTGCTTAGAAACGCCTGTGTGATAGAAACGAAGATCCTAGACGGTTTGGGCGCCGACTAACGGGCTTAGTTGCGTTGGACTGGGATTTTGGGTCCCCTCGGAAAAAGGATCATTCCATTGATTGATTTTCCCCGTGATCTGACGATTGTACATTCTCATCTTTTTGCTCTATTTTATTAGATTGGAAATGATTCGAGACATTCTGATCCGTGGCACTTGGATATTTTTTCAGAATAATCAATCATATTAATATTAATTACCCTGGGCCTTATTATGATTTCGGATGATACATCTGTCAATATTTTAAATAATACATGAATTATTGTTCGAACCAAGTTATCAGTCAACACACGGATCACCTGCTCCCCGACCAGTCAGGGATGGGCAGAACTGACTTTGTTAGTGTGGGAAGTTTAGTTTTCATGCCTAAACTGCGTCTGGCAATCTGCCCTCTTCCATATACTCCACCAGGGGAACCGGTGGATAATCACCCACCCAACGACCCAAACTAGGAGTTGACTGATGGTCCTAGATGAACCTGGAGAACAAAACTAGTACAGTACGTACTGTACTTTTTTTTTTTTGTTTTTGTTTTAATGTGCTTCTGGGTCCTTGTCCCGCTCCCCTCCGCCATCGTTCTTTATCGTAGCTCCATCCCCGACTTTATACTTCCTTTCTGTCTTCCGAATATACTCCCTCCTTTGATTCTTTCCTTTCCTTCTCCTTCCATCCCTCTGCTCGCTCTCTCTTTCCATCCGGTGGATCACCGCTGGCTTTCGATCGTTACTTGCTGCTGGTGGCAATTCAATTGATTAATCTCGCGACTCCTACCACGAGACGATAACGTTCATTCCTCCCTTCTTGGGTCGTGTTGGGAACCTCCGCCTCCCCCCGTCGCCCTTGCGTACCCTTCGCCACGAACAACCAGCTGAACTTTGCACCCCCGCGTTCGCTGTACGCTCGGAGAGGATCAATTCCCTCCTCCTTTCGTCATTATCTGCCTGTAATTTCGTCGATCGCACTCCTCTCGATTTTCTAGGCTCCAATTTCGGGATCCGCACCGTCGTCCTTGCTGCAACCCCAACCCAGTTTCCTCGAGGAGGCAGGACTCCCTCCGTCTGGATCAGCGCAATCTAGTTCCTGCCCTGCTTCGAATTACGGCGCTCTTATTGTTTCCTTTTTTTCTCCTAGCCTTCTTCTAAATTCCCCGTGCTCGTGCTCGTCAACCATCCTTCTTCGCGCCCTCGTTTTGGTCCTAGATTAGGAACGTGTTCTGGTATCAAGGAACACAAACTATCAACCACTACAGACGGAGTGTCGACACTCTGTCATCCGTTTTCTGCATACGCGTTGAGAGGTACG